GGATCTCCTGACAGGCCGACACAGCCCTTCGCCCCTCGGCCTGCTTCTCCTCGATGAGGCCCAATCCCAGCCCGAAAGCCAGAAAGACCGCCCGGCCACAAGGGCCCGCGCCGCCCCTGGCCCGCAGCACGAACTGCCGCTGGAGCCGCGCCGCCAGCCCGGCCACTGACTGGCGGAAGAAGCGGTAGCGGTCGGGGAGCCCCAGCCGGCGGGGCTCCGCACTGGGCCCCAGGGCCGGACCCGGTCGCTCTCCTCGGCCCCAGCACGCCGCCGGGCCTGGCCTCCCGACCCGTCCCCAGCAGCAGGCCGGACCAGGCTTGGTCGTGAAGGACAGCAGCAGCGCTCGGCCTAGCTGCAGGCCTCGGCCCAGTGCCTGTCGCACCGCCATGGTGGCACCGAGGCCCAGACCCCCCGCCGCTGTCTGACACGCCAGTCACAAGAACAACAAACTCCTGGGCGGCGCTTCTGCGCAGGTGCGGGATCCTGTGGGCGGGGCCGACGCCGAGTGGGCAGTTCTCAGGCCTCGGCGCGTGGGGGCGCTGTGGCGCAACGCGGGGTGAACAGTGTCTCCAGCTATATCTCCTGTTTTGTCCAATATTGAGGGCAGTTATCAAACGTGAACGGCGTGAATCCTGGGCAAAGTCGAGAACATGGGAGGGGAAGCTAATATTTAGTGACCGTTAATTACCATTTGATTTGAATACTCTGGTTGCCTGGGAGGTAAGGAGTTGTGCTTCCAACCCAAAGACGAGTGGTTTGAATCCACCATCTGCTCCACAGGAGATGCTAGGCAGTTTCCTCCTGTGCGATTTACAGCCTCGAAAACCCAGGAGCGGGTCAGTTTTTGGTCGGTTCCTATTCAATGGCACACAGAGCAACACCATCAGTCATCAGGCCAGAACCTTTATATCTGTTATTTCATCTTTCCATCAAGATACTATTGTGTTGTTGTTAGGTGTTGTTGAGTAAAATAGGACTCATAGCGACCCTATGAAAAAGAGATCTGAACCCTGTTCTATCCTATGCCGTCCACACACTTTCTTACCTTGTCAATCTACCTGGTGGAGAGTCCTCTCCTTCTTTGCCGCCCCACCACCCTTCCCAGTAAGTATCATGTCCTTCTCTAAGGAATAGCCCCTCCTAGCAACATGCCCAAAGTATGTGAGGTGAAGCCTCATCATCCCTGCCTCCAAAGAGCACTCTGGCTGCACCATCTCCAAGACATATCTGCTTGTTCTTTTGGCCATCTATGGGATGTTTGGTGCTCTTCTCCAACACTATTGTTGTTATGTGCCACCGAGTCTCCAGCAACTCATAGTGACCCTGTGTACAACAGCCCTAAACCCTGCTTTGGCCTGTGCCAATCTTACTGTCTCCGACACACCTACCTCATTACTCCAGTGACTAAGTCAATCCGTCTTATCGAGGATCTTCATCTCCTGTGCTGTCCTTTCACCCTGCCAAGCATGACCCTCTCCAAGGACTGGTCCCACCTTGTAATGTGTCCAAAGTATATCACATGAAGCTTCAGAATTCTTGCCTCTAAGAAGCAGCCTGGTCTCACCCTCTCCAGGATGAACCTATTTGTTTTCTTAGCAGTCCATGGTATGTATATTCAAAACTCTTCTCCAACACCACAGCTCAAAGATCAATTCTCCTTTTATCATCTCTAGTCATTTTCCAGCTCTCTGATGTGAAATCAACAGTATTAGGTTCTTTTTATTGAGAATATTTGGTTGACTATACACCCATAGTCTCTATGTGGTTGTTGTTAAGTGCCATCGAGTTGTAGATGACTCATAGCTATGCTATGAACGAAAGACCTGAACACCTGTAGAACTTTCATCATTTCTCCACGTTCATAGAGTTTCCAGAGGCAAGCTATTTTAGAAGTAGTTGCCACTCCTGCTTCCAAGCTTCTTTTACTCAGGAAGCTCACTAAACACTGTCCACCATGGGTAACCATTATGGCATTTGACACATCAGTGCCACAGTGTTTAGCGTCACAGCAACCAGTTACCTCTGTATAGCAAATAGGAGGACAAGTGCTATACCACTTAGAAGAATGTTTGACCAAAACCAATTAAATGGGAGGCTGAGTCAAATCAACTCACACCCATTGGCGAGTAAATGTTCCACCCTAATCCTCACCAGAACCAGCAGACAAACCCCTGTAGAATCTGGCTGCTGCAGAGTGAGAAAGAGTGCACTCAGAGACCACATTTTGTAGATGAATTAACAAACAGCAGAGTTCTGGTTGAAGACCAAACCTGCTCTTGTTAGGTGCCAAATCAAGCAAGACTCATTAGGAACAGACTTGAACTGTCCTCTCCTGTGCCATCCTCATCATCTCTACCATACTTGAACCCATTGCTGCCATCACTCTATTAATTTGTTGGGATTCTTCCTCTCTTGCACTAACCCTCCACCTTTCCCAACATGATATCTCTTTCTAAAGAAAAGCTTCTCTTGACAACATGCCCACAGTATGTGCGTTTGCTGTCCTTGCCTCTAAGGAGCACTTTGGCTGCATTTTCTCCAAGACCTCTCTGTTGTTTTTTTTTTGCAATTAATATGCTATTCAGTCCTCTTTTCCAACACTACAACTCTTAGGCATTGAGTCCTCTTCTGTCATCTTTACTCATTGTCCAGCTCTTAGATGCATAGCAGGTGAGTGTTTAAAACCATGGCTTAAATTAGGATTATTAGTCTTGAAGCTAACATCATTGCTCTTCAGGATTTTAGAGAGGTCCCTGATGACTGACTTTCCCAATGTTTTACATCTCCTTGTTTCCTGACTGCTGGTATCAAAGGTGTTAATTATGAACCAAAGTAAGATGAAATCACTGACAATTTCAGTCTCTCCCCCATCTATCAGGAAACTGTTGCCTATTGGCCAAGGAATGAGGATTTTTGTTTCCTTGATGCTGAGATGTAATCTGCAGCAAGTGTCTCAAGTCTTCTTCTCTTTTAGCAAGGAAAGTTGTGTTCTCTACCTAATACAGGTCATTGAGCAGTTACTGTTTGTGCCTGGGGTCCATTGCACAGGAGATTGAGGAAGTAATGTGTGTTAAGACTCTTTGGGCATATACTATAGTGTCCTGCGTTGGTTTCACATAGAGAAAAAGCCCTCTGGAAATGACTGTCATATCCCGAATCTCCGTACCCTCTAGGAATTGCTTGTGACATTCTGTGTCTGCCAGATGGCAGAGGAGAACAATGTTTCCTTCAGGGTGTAGAGGCTAGGTCAACATAAAGGTTAAAGAGGCAAAAAAAGCAGTTTTAAAATTCAACATGCATCGAACGCTCATGTTCTTAAGACTTTAAGACAGCTCTATTCACACTCACCTCTGAAAAAGCGCCTCTGATTTTAGACTTGAGTCCCCTTTCTTTCTGCTTTCTTTTCTATCTCCCCTCCCAGCTCTCCCTCCTTTCTTTTTCTCTTTCCTTCCTTGACTTAACTGTTTGTTATAGGAATTTTGAAACCTGCACACAGATACAGAAGGGTATTATGAACCCCAACAATTTTCAGCAAATGACCATTATTTTCACCTATAATTCTCTAACCACTGCCATTCTAGTAAATTAAATATCAGACCTCAGATTATTTAATTTGAAAATTCTTCAGTATCCATCTCTAGGAGATAACTTTTTTTTTTTAAAAAAAAATCTTTTTAAAATTCATCCATTGTTGCACATTTTTCTCCCTCCCCTTCTCTTCACCCTGTCCCAGTCCACTTTGTAGGGAATAACTCTTGTTTAAAAAAAATGAATATTTAGAGACAAAGAATGTGCTCTTAAAAATGTCATTAATATTATTACCCTTTGAAGGATTAACTTTATAATATTCTTTAATGTCAAAGAGCTGGAGTCAGAAAATGAAAAGGGCCAAACTTGTTTGGCATTACTGAAGGGACTAAAGAAATTCAAGCCACGAGTTGCAATACTTAAGGATGCTATGGAAAGACTATTGAATGATCTAGGAAGCATTAAAAGAAGATGGAAGGAATACACAGAATCCCTGTACCAAAAAGAATTGACTGACCCAGAAGAATTTAAAGGAACAATATATCAAAAGGCAATGATGTTGAAGGAGGAAGTTCAGGCTGCTATGAAGGACTTGGCAAAAAATCAGTCCCCAGGTATTAATGGAATATCAATTGACATGTTTCAAAAAACAGATGCTGCCCTGGATGTGCTCACCAGGTTGTGCCACAAAATTTGGAGGACAATTATGTGGCTAACTGACTGGAAGAGATCCATATTTATTCCTATTCAAAAAAAAGGTAACCCAACAAGTGTGGAAATTATCGAACAGTATCATCCACAAGCCAAATACTGATGAAGATTATCCAAAAATGACTGGAATCGTACATTGACAGAGAACTATCAGAAATACAATTGGCACTAGAGACATTATTGCCAATGTCAGGATCTTGGCAGAAAGCAAAGAGTACTGGAGGAATTTCTATCTGTGTTTGATTAACTATGCAAAAGCATTTGACTGTACAGATCACAACAAATTGTGGCTAACCTTGAGGAGAATGGGAGTCCTAGCACCCTTCATTGTGCTTATGCAAACCCTATCCTTGGACCAGGAAACCGTCCTTAGAACAGAGCAGGAGACAGAGTCAGTTCCGGCTGGTGACTAATTTGCTTTTAAGCTGTAAGTGTGCGAAGGTGACAGAACAGGCGCAGAAGTCCGTGCTGTTTGTATGTCTAGGTAACATTTGTCGATCACCCATTGCAGAAGCAGTTTTCAGAAAACTTGTCACTGATCAAAACCTTTCAGATAAGTGGATCATTGACAGTGGTGCTATTTCTGACTGGAACGTGAGCTGGTCACCAGATCCAAGAGCTGTAAGCTGCCTAGGAAATCATGACATTAAAACATCTCATAAAGCCAGACAGGTTACCAAAGAAGACTTTGCCACATTTGATTATATACTATGTATGGATGAAATCAATCTGAGAGATTTGAAAAGGAAAGGTAATCAAGTTAAAAACTGCAAAGCTAAAATTGAACTACTTGGAAGCTATGATCCACAGAAACAATGTATTATAGAAGATCCCTACTATGGGAATGACTCCAACTTTGAGACTGTGTACCAGCAGTGTGTTAGGTGCTGCAAAGCCTTTTTGGTGAATGCTCATTAATGCTGCGTCCATTCCTTGTTAAAAGCCAACAAACTGAACACCTTTACAGTGATGCTCTACATCTTTTAAATCAATCAATGTGTTATAGTGTAATGTTACATAGTCCAAGGCCATAACTATTTCTTCAGTTAATTTCCTGTTTCTTACCTTAAAAAAAATAAATGTGGCTGGAAATCAGTTATTACTGGAAGCAGAATAATTTTTTGTTATTCAGATTGTTTATGTTTTAAA